AAGGGTTCCGTATCAAGGATTCGTTACTAAGGCTCTCTTTCTCTCTCTCTCTCTCTCTCTCTCTCTCTCTCTCTCAGGATTACTTACTAAAGATTGCGTAAGAAAGGATCCTTATTGATCCCCTAGTAAAGATGCCATGTTCAGCTTCCGTCATGCGTGTTCCTCACGAAGTGTTCCGCACGGAGGGGGGGAAAAAAACAAAAAACACATGTTTATGGATTCCGCACTAAGGACCCCGTGTAAAACGACTCCATACTAAAGATTCCTTACTGAGGCCTCGGTTTCGGGGACTCCTTAGTAAGGGTCCTTGACCAAGGAATCCTCAAGTAAGGACTCCCTCCTTCGTGAGGGTCCCTTACTCAGGACTCATCGCGAGGAATTCCTCTCGAGACTCCCCACTGCGGATTCCTTACCAAGGGCGCCTCGATGACGGTTCTCCGATAATAATTCCTCACTTAGGAATCCTCCCGAAGGGTTCCCCACTAAGGGCTCCTTACTAAGGGTTCCTCACCGAGGATTCCTCACTAAGGAATTATCACTAACGATTTGATACTAAGGATACCTCACTCAGAACTCACCAATACGGACTCCTCACTTAGGATACTTCGTCAAGGCCCCTCCTGCCACAGGAGAATGTGGAGGGGGACGAGAAAGGGTAGGACCCCCGCAGTGGGACGGAAACCATGGGGGTGTCAGAACTTGTCGAAAACCCAAGTCAATTGGCAAAAATTCCGGCAAATGTCCGCCGAAATTCTCCCGGCACCATCTCGCGTGGTTGTCGTGGTCTTCTGTGTTTTCAAATGGTGTGGGTGTGGTGGGGTGCTGGTGCCGCTTTCGCCGAGGTGCTCGAAAACGCCAAAACCGCCCAGGTCTTCACCGTGCCTGGCGCCCCTCCTGTTTCTCCTCCTCCTCCTCCTCGGATGCACGGATGCACGAAACGGTCTCGAGCCCACTCTAGGAGCAGAAAGAGACAAAAAAGTTCGCGAAGGGCCAAGGCGGCGCCTGCGCCTGCGGAGGAGAAGGAGGGCCGAGAGGAGGCGCGGGCGTCTGAGGATCCGACCTTGAGAGCCAGGCGCTGCATCTCGCCTAGGATGTGGATCACCTGTGCGGCCGCCACGAGTGGAGAGAGGGAGGACGAGCGACAGGGGCGGGAGAAGGGAGGGACGAGGAGGGGAGGAGGAGGAGGAGGAGGAGGAGGAGAAGCAGCAGCAGCGGGACAAGCAGCAGCAACTCGGGAAGGTGCAAGAGGAGGGAGAGTGTGAGGAAAGAGGAGAAGCAGATGTGGAAGGTTCCATCTGATCGCCTCCTCATCCTCATCCTCGTCCGATTAATAGTATTCATCCTTTTTATCCTCCTCCTCCTCCTCCTCCTCCTCCTCCTCCTCCTCCCTCTTCTTCTCATCATCCTCCTCCGCATCCTCAACCTCCTCCTCATCCTCCTCATCCTCCTGCTCCTCTTACTCCTACTCTCTCTCTCTCTCTCCCTCTTCTTCTCTCTCTCTCTCTGACTCGATGCGTATATGGATATGCATGTATCTATGCGTGTAGATCATGGTAATTATACATTTGCGTGTACATGATATGTTATAGACATCCATATATGCACACATGTGTGTTAACGTATGAGCATGTGTGTATCCGTAGCTCTCTCTCTGTCTATATATGTATGCACATATGTATATACATATCTATATATATATATATATATACAAATAGATGCATACACATCGCACACCCTCCTAGACCGAATATGCTTGTACACATCTAATGTATTACATGTGTGCGCATGTGAAAACTATCCGTGCACGCATGATCCGCCACCGTGCCTCGAGGCGCGAAGTTGAGTGCACCCAAGGCTTCTAGGAGTTTCTGCACACTATAGCCAATATTGTTCGCAAGAATGACAGGGAGCCTAGAGGGCCGGAGAGGCCCCCAAGACGGTTCAAGATGGCCCGGGCCGCGTGTTTGGGATGGATTCAGTGTTGAAATCCCGAGAATGGCGTGTTGGCACGATCAACCATCGTCAAGACACAACAGTCAAGTTGATCCGTGGCGTTGGAATCCCGAGAACAACGTTTTGGCATGCTTCTGGGTCTTCAAACAGTTGCCTTCCAACGAGGCAGACCCACCCAATGAAAATGAAGGGAGGGTGTACTCCAGCATCGTTGATGGCTCTTGGGTTTACACTGGTCCTCTTTCATCTCCTCCTCCTCTTCCTCCTCCTCCTGCGCCTCCTCCTCCTGCGCCTCCTCCTCCTCATCCTCCTCGTCCTCGTTGTCCTCCTCCTCCTCCTCCTCCTCGTCGTCATCATCATCATCATCATCATCATCATCATCATCATCATCATCATCATCATCATCATCATCATCATCATCATCATCATCATCATCATCATCATCATCATCATCATCATCATCATCATCATCATCATCATCATCATCATCATCATCATCACCATCACATCATCACCATCATCAGCATCATCATCATCACCACTCAGC